ATTTTGTTAATTACGTTTCTCTTTCGCTGTGTTATGGTCATTGAAGGGCAAAATGGTCATTTTACATGTTTCAGATATGGGTATATGGAAACAGCTTTGAATCTTTCCTTGTTGCGGTTGTGAACCCAAACAAAGAATCACTTGAACAATGGGCAGTAGAAAACGGGGTGGATGGTGATTTCTGTACCATTTGTGAAAACCCGAAAACAAATGCTTATATTCTTGGAGAGCTAATGAATATTGCTAAAGAGAAAAAGGTTTATTTATTTATTTATTATATCTGTATAATTTATGAAAGAGTAAATCACATTTTTGGTCCCAAAAAGCTTTCACTTGCAATTTTGGTCCGTGTTCCAAATCAAATGACATATATTTTGTGACCAAATTTGCAAAAATCAGCTGTGTTCAAGGTCCCAAAAAATAGTCATTTTACTTAGAACAGGGACCAAAAACGTTACAAAAACCTCAAATAAGGACCAAAGTTGCAAGAGAAACCTTTTTAGGACCAAAATTGTAATTTACTCTATAAATTATAATAACTAATTCTGAATATTTGTTGGCAGTTGAAAGGTTTTGAATTTGTGAAAGCTGTTCATCTTGATCCTGTACCATTTGACATGGATCGTGATCTGCTAACTCCAACCTTCAAGAAGAAGAGAGCCCAGTTTCTTAAATACTACCAGGTAACTAATTACCTGGTTTCTTTCCTTTAGTATTCAAATAATCATAATGAATTTTTTTATTTTTTTATCATATAATAATTTATTCAAACCATTTTGCAGAATGTGGTGGATGGTATGTATAAAAGCAGCCGATAATCAAGATATTTTCAGATGCCTCTAATATAATATAAATAAGCAATATATTTTCTATGAGGATCCAAATGATTATTTTCAGCTACTACCAATCAGATTATATTTCTACTTCAAACTTTAAAGTAGTTTTTTATTTGATTGCTATCAAAGTGTGTTGTAGTATTTCATACATTTTATATATGTATATCGGAAATTATTAATGAGTATTATGGATTTTAAGCATTTAATCCGGCATGTTATACGTGGTTATTTCTTTTTGAGTTAATTTGGACATAAAGACTTGATAGATTAAGCAAGAACCTGAATTAATGTTTTATGACACCAACCCTTTATATTTTTCCCCTTTCCCCTAACCCAACTCCATTCACATTAAAGTTGTTTGTTGGAATGTATGTCAAATGATCATTAGCCTCAAAGGAATCCAAATCTGTGTACAAACACATAAGACTTGTTCATAATTTACAAGATAACCTTCCAAGAATGTCCATAGTGAGTTAAGTCTGAATCTTGATGGTTATACATGCCTATATATATTTCACTTAATCTTGTAAGGGTAAATTGGTCATTCTTAGTTTAAAAAAGAAACATATCTTTATTTATACAACACTTCATACAGAAGCACTTTGCTCAAATCAAATGAATCCAAATCTATATGCACAAACTCACTAGACTTGTTCATAAATTACAACAAGATAATCTTCTAAAAATCTATATAAAAGAAACATGTATTATTTATATAGTACCTTATTCAAGATGATCGTCACTAAAATCGGGCTCCACCGGCTTTTGTGGCAACAATGTGGGAACCACAGGCGGCAATAATTTTGTCCCATGTGAATGGTTTCTCCTTAAATTACGTAAAATATTGGCGGCAAACCTAGACGCATAAATGGTGGCTCCAAGACTTGGGGAGGCGGTTTCACCACCCTTTTCTAATGCTTCATGCAGTCTTTTTTCTTCCTCCCGTAATGCCGCCTCTTGCTTCCTTCTACAGTGTCTACGCCATGCCGCCTGTATAAAACAAGCTCACCATGTCTTCCATTGTTGTGAGTAGTACCTGTATATATTATATTCATATCAAGGTTTATTAATAAAATATGATGGAATATTCTATAGCATTATAAACAATAAAACATATAATAGTTGAATTTTCTTTTAAATAATTACAACTTATTTGATAACACAATTGTTGTCACAACTAGTATTTTTGGCTAGGAAATTCCGTCCTCATGTAAGCAATGACTATTGTGAGACTTGTGCTAACACATTAAAGTG